TGGAGCGTCGGGCCGACCTCACCTACGCCGAGTTCGTGCAGCAGTACGTGCTTCCTTGATCGCGGAGGTCGGGCTCTGTTCACACGCCCGTCTGCCCGGACCGCCCAAGGCCGCCTTCCCTGATCTCGCGCGCGCGTGTGGGGCGGGGGCGGCGAGGGTGACGGTCGGACCTGGCCGCGACCCTGCACTTCTTTCCAGGTACGCCTTCGTCAGGCCCGTTATCCTGCAGGGACTCACGGACAACTCGGTGAGCGCGCGCCCGTCCCCGGCCACTCTTGCCCCTGCTGGGTCCGGCCACTAAGCCCCCTCCCCGCCCCCGCAGAGGTTCCGGGCCCTGTGCTCCCGCGAAAGGCTGCTGGCCTCGTTTGGGGACAGAGTGGTCCGCCTGAGCACCGCCAACACCTACTCCTACCAGAAAGGTGAGCGGCCCCGCCCCTGCGCCCGCCCGTGTGCCAGCACCGGGACGGCTGGACCAGCCGGTCCTGACCCGTCTCTCTCCTGCAGTGGACTTGCCGTTCCAGGAGTATGTGGAGCAGCTGCTGCACCCCCAGGACCCCACCTCCCTGGGCAATGGTGAGTCAGCCCTAGGTGGCGGTAGGGGGTGGGGACGCCTGGGGTTTCCAGGTGCCAGGATCCCTGCCCCCACCGTCTCTACTGGCAGACACCTTGTACTTCTTCGGGGACAACAACTTCACCGAGTGGGCCTCTCTCTTTCGGCACTACTCCCCACCCCCATTTGGCCTGCTGGGAACCGCTCCAGCTTACAGCTTTGGAATCGCAGGTGAACGCTGCTCGGGACTGGGGAGGAGTGAGGCTTCTGAGGGTGGGTACAAAATGGCTTGGTCACCAGGTGCTCATAACTCCACAGGAGCTGGCTCGGGGGTGCCCTTCCACTGGCATGGGCCCGGGTACTCGGAGGTGATCTACGGCCGTAAGGTCAGCACAGGGTTGGGGTTGAGCCTTGGGGCTCGGTGACCAAAACGGGCAAGGGTGACACTGCTGCTCCTGCCCCCAGCGCTGGTTCCTCTACCCACCTGAGAAGACACCAGAGTTCCACCCCAACAAGACCACGCTGGCCTGGCTCCGGGACACATATCCAACCCTGCCACCGTCTGCACGGCCCCTGGAGTGTACCATCCAGGCTGGTGAGGTCAGTGGCTGGCAGGAGAGGGCCAGGCCAGGCCAGAGGCCCCCAGCTAGTCTGTGCTGCACCCCTTTTCTCCACCAGGTGCTGTACTTCCCTGACCGCTGGTGGCATGCCACACTCAACCTTGACACCAGTGTCTTCATCTCCACCTTCCTCGGCTAGCCAAAGCAGCTGGCAGGCATGCCTGCCACACACCAGCACGTCCTACCTCGTGCTCACGGATTTTATTACACAGACAGTGGCGGCAGTGGCTTCAGCCCAGCCCACCCTCACCGGCTTTTCTAGCCCACAAAGGGGACAATCACGGCCCAGCAAGAGCTATGCTGAGAGGGGGATAGTCCAGAGAGAGCCCAACAGCAGAACTTGGAAGGGGCCAGGGTGGCCAGCAACACAGACTATGTACAGGGGTGGAAGGCTTCCGCCCAGGGCTCTCCTGGACCGGGATGCTGGGCAGGGCGAGGAATCTCAGTAGTCCTCCACCCAGCCATTCTCAGAGATGAATGCGTCGATAACCTCCTTCATGGCCAGGTTGGGGATGAGCTGTTCCTGGGTCAGGGGGCTCCGGGTCACGGGGTCAAAATGACCCACGCGCTGCAGTGACAAGAAGGGCAGAGGGCAGTCAGTGGGCCCAGGACCATGCTGCTGGCCCTGCTCCCCCAGCCGCAGCCTCACCTGCAGGTGCTCCTCAATGTCCTTGCGGTCGTAGGTGATACCACTGGGCGTGATGCATGGCTCCCGCATCAGCTCAAAGCTGATCTTACCACACAGGTAGTCGGGGATGTCACGCTTCTGTGGCACAGGGGCACACGGTCAGAGGCTGGGAAGGGGCACTGCTCCAGCACCTGCCACCCACCGCAGCACGTGACAGACACTCACCTTCCTCTTCTCGTCCACCTGAGAGAAGAGCTCGTCCATGTCTGCCATGTACTTGTCCTGTGAAGAGTTGAGCACTGCACTTGTGCGGGACACCCCACCTCCCTCCTCCATGGGGCACAGACCCAACACAAGGCGGGGACGCTCCCACGCCAGGTGCACACACACAGACCCACATGTGGGAGGGGGGCACCCTCACATGCTTAGCCTCGATGCAGGCCTGCTGGGCCCGGACGTGGCTGTCGTCCTCATCACCCTCGTGGTTCCGCTGGCACTCTTCCAGCTCCCTGGGGGTTGACCAGGCGCCAGTAAGAGATGGACCTGGCCAGATGTCTGACCACACCCCAACCTCAAGGCTAACATTCATGCTTCTTCCCCACGTTTTCTGCTCGCCAGTAAAACCTTCAATAAACGCTCATGTTGGTAGTTGCTGATTCAGAATTATCCCAAGACAGGGCGACCTAGGGTGAGGGTCCCACCTCTCACGCTCCGCGGCAATGAGCCTGGAGAGGTAGGAGTGCAGCTCGCTCTCCTGGTGGATGCGCCGCTCCTCGATGCTATTCCAGCGCTTCTTCTTCGCGATTCGAAGAGCACTGGGAATGTCGTCCCCGAAGTTCAGCCTCTGCTCCTTGGCCAGGCTGTAAGCTGGGGAACGGGGGCTTCAGGTCACTCTCTGGCCAGTCCACCCGCCTGGCCCCAGGGGCCCCACAACCGGGCAGCTTGTCAGCCAACCTCGCTGCAGATTGGCGATGGCCTCATCATAGCTCTCCATCTCCAGCTGGCACTGCCCCAGGAAGAAGTGCGCCTTCACAGACTGCCCGTCCAGTTCCAGGGCGCGCCGGCAGTCGGCCAGGGCCTGCTCGTGCTGCTGCATCTTCAGGTAGCACAGGGCACGGTTGGTGTAATATACGGCCACCAGCGGGTTCCGGGTCTAGGGACCAAGGCCGGGCCAGCCGCATGAGGGTGTAGGCTCAGCGCGCCCCCTCTGTCCCACGGCCCGTCCCAGCTTCTGCGCTCTGGCTAGAATCAAGAAACTAGGCTTCTCAGTCGTCAAAGCCCCTGGATCCAAGGATCTGCAGACAGTGGAGTACTGGCTGAGCCTATCCGCTTGACTCCACTTGGTTTTGTAAAGTTTTCCAAATCTTTGGAGAGTCCGGGCTTTGGACCTGGGATCCTCAAGAGGCGAGGGCCCCTGCCCTCCCCCCGACCCGGCCGGCCTCCATCCAGCATCCCACCCTCGTTCTCCGACACCCGGCGCTGGGCTCGGGAACCACGGCTGGGCTTTGGGAACCCAGGACATGCCCCGCAGAGGAACCAGACCCTCGGTGGGGCCAGCCGG